TTGCCCAATGCTGGAAACAAAATAATACCCCCTCAGACAAATTAGTGATAAAAAAAATTCTGGATTGTGCAGAGATGGACAAATTAACACTGAAATTAAAAGGTAAAGGAGAGTCGGAATATTATGAAATTTGGAACAATTGGTACAAATGGCTGCAAAACAAGAATAAAATTAATTAAGCCGAAAAACAATATATAAAAATATATATAGAACTGTGTATAAAGGTGTATAAATATAGAAGTGAAATATTATATACAGGTATGATGACATAACAATGTTGATATAATGACTGTAAGGTGTTGAAGAAGGAAAAATATTTAAAAAATCTGCTAAAAAAAAAGCTAGAGGACATGAAATTAATTTTGAAGGAACCAGGTTAATCTCCAAAATTGAACACTTCAACAAGAGAATAATTATGGAAGCTATTGAAACAGAGAAACACCCCCACACACAACATGAATAAACGTGATGATGCCTCCCACCTACTAGACATCTGCAAACCAGCCCTAATCAACAAACAAGCCCCACCCACCACCCAGGCCGTTACAGCACGAAACAACAATGGACACACAGCCAGCACCAATCAGCACCAATCTACTAATCATGATACAACCACACAACCAACCATTCCACTTACTGAAACAAAGCCAGCACTTCACAGATCCCCACCAAGATTTATAGAAAGATGGCAGCTCTGACCACGCTTTAAGCCCAAAACCCAGCTTGAAAATGGCAGGTGGGACCTTGCCAAAACTTTGCCAAGACAATCTCAATCTTACATGGGAAAGGACCCGAATACAGCAAGACCAGCATACCTACACCCATGAAAATCTACGAAAACACACACACACACACAAACACACACACAGAATAGAGAATAGATAGATGATTGATAATTGATTGATTGATATAGATAAAAGATAGATAGAGAATAGATTGATAGTGAACAGATAGAAAGATAGATCGACAGACAGACAGCGAATAGATAGAGAGTAGATAGGTAGGTCAGTAGGTGGGTAGGTCGGTAAGTAGTCCTGGACTACAATGGGGGACATAATGCTATAGCTCCTTAAATTACTTAGCTGATTTTGTGGAAATAGGAGAGATGACTTCACAGAGGCTTCCTTGTGCTCTACAGGATTGTAAACATGATTTACCATTCACTTGGATGCTGGTACTGGGGCTTTGGTTCGACTGAACCTTCCTGCCTGCTTCTTCCAGCCAATAAGCACAGCTGTAATTTCCGGTGTTGTTCCTTTGTGCCCAAATATCCATCATGCCATCTCGGTAAGCATTCGGTTCCGTTTGATAGATCTGCTGCCCATCTTCTCGGAAGAATCGGTAACCTTGCACCATCAAGTTTTTCTTCACTGTCAAGTTGTGGAAAGTTGAGCAGCTCAGCCTGATTGTCTCCCCTTCATAATATTGCTGGTACTCAGGCCACACAGAAAGCACGGGCTGAGTTAGAGGCTCTGCAATCAAACACAAAGCAATTAAACACATCAAAATGAGATTGGTTCCAGGTGGCAGATGGTTGGGTTAGCAAAAGGTGGAGACAACCTCAAAGTCAGCTTCAAAAGCCAGACTGAGATCCAATCCAACTAAACAACATATATTTTTACATTTATATAGTGTTGATTTTTTATTTATATGATTGGAGGGGATGAGGGTTTACTATTTGCTTGTTTTATATTGTGTTCCCCATCTCAATGCTTGAATTGGGTGCCCTTATGACTCTTATAAGGGATGTGGTGGCTCAGTGGCTATCGTGGTGAGCTTGTCGATCAGAAAGGTTAGCAGTTCAGTGGTTCAAATCCCTAGCGCCACGTAACAGAGTGAACGCCTGCTACTTGTCCCAGCTTTTGCCAACCTAGCAGTTTGAACACATGTAAAAATGCAAGTAGAAAAATAGGAACCACCTTTGGTGGGAAGTTAACATGCATTTCATGTGCCTTTGGTGTATTTAGTCATGCTGGCCACAGGATCATGGAGACGTCTTTGGACAGCACTGGCTCTTTGGCTTTGAAACAGAGGTGAGCACCACTCCCAAGAGTCGGGAACCACTAGGCCATATGTGTGAGGGGAACCTTTACCTTTATTTTATAAATCTTGTAAATTTGTAAAGCAAATTTGGGAAACTTCATGCATTATTCAGGAAAGTTGCATGGTAACCGATTAACAGAGTTGGAAGGGACCTTGTAGGTCTTCTAGTCCAAGTCCCCACCCAAGCAGGAGACCCTACACCATGGGTGTCAAACTTGTGGTTCGCGGGCCAGATGTGTCATGTGCTGGCCACATCCAACTCCATTTTAATAAAAGGGGGGAAAGTCATGATACATCACATGACAACATTACACCATGAGTTTGACATCCCTCCCCTATACCATTTCTTACAAATGGCAGTCCAGTCTCTTCTTGAAAGCTTTCAATGATGAAGCTCCCACAACTTCTGAGGGCAACTTCTGAGGGCAACTTCTGTTCCATTGGTTGATTGTTCTCACTGTCAGAAAATTTCTCCTTATTTCTAGGTTGAATTTTACCTTGATCAGTTTCCATCCTTGTCTGGCCTTCAGGTGCCTTGGAAAATAGATTGACCCCCTCCTCTCTATGGCAGCCCTTCAAATATTGGAACATTTGCTATCTCCCCTGGTCCTTCTCTTCACTAGCCATGCCCAGGTCCTGTAACTGTTCTTCATATGCTTTAGTCTCCAATCCCCTAATCATCCTGGTTGTTCTTCTCTGCACTTTTTCTAGAGTCTCAACATCTTTTTTATAGTGTGGTGACCAAAACTGGATGCAGTATTTTGGGTGTGGCCTTACTAAGGCTTTATAGAGTGGTGTTAGTAGATGAGTGACTGCCTCAGTTAGCAACAATTCTTACAGACTTTTGTAGGTCTGCAGAAGAAAGGAAAGCTGAATTCAGATCATGAGCAACAGTCATAGTTTCACTTAGTCTCTGCTTCACTTGACAACCAAGTTACCCGTCTCATTGTAGTCAGAAAATGAGTATAGACAAAATGTCTCCTTCCTTTACAAATGATCAAACTTGCACATCAGTTTAAATTTTTCTTTTTAAAATCTTGAGGTATCTCAAGAGATAAAACTTAGCAAACAAAAAAAAACCCCCAACCACTGGTTGTTAATAAACAAGAGCAAGCACCCAAGCAGGAAACTTAGATAATTAAAAAGCAGCCAGATTGGAAAACACTTGAATAAACTTTCGAACTCATCAGCAATCTTTATTTTGAGACGAGTCGGATGACGATCATTGCTAGTGGGGATTTTTTCTTCTCCTTTATTCTGTCAGCAATTCCTACTATTTGTAATACACAGAAGACTGGGCAGGTCTCAAGAATGAGTCAGAAGAAGAGTTTCATATCTTGGCCGCTTACCGGGCCAATTCCTCTCATACTAATTTAAGCAGCGCCTCTATTTTCACTTTCTATATGAAGCTGGAGTGGGGAGAAATAAGGCTGCCTGAAAAGTTTCATGACTTTCGATAAATCCACTCCTTAAAGCAACTACCATTCTTTTCTAAGGCTTTCAGAAGCCTATAAAAACATTAATAGCAGCAAAATGCTTGTGAAAGCCCTAAAGAATCTTGTAATGCCTTCACAATTATGGATGAATCTTAGGTTTTACACTCCTCCAGGGAAGGTATAAGGGAACACCAATAGCAGAACGGGTATGTATATGTGGTAAAGGAGAAGTGGAAAATTTCTCACATGTTTTATTGTACTGTGAGTTATACAGCGTTTATAGGTCAGCATATATTCTGCCCTTACTAGAGAGATTGCCAAGGAGGGCAAACCATTTTTATGTAGGCTTTCTCCTCCAGGACTCAAACTGGTCTACCATGCATGCAGTAGCAAAATTCTGTGTTGTTGCAATGTCCACAAGAAAAAAAAATTGGTTACAGAATTATAGCTGTCAACTTGTACCAATTTTTCAGAGATATCTCTAACAATTTTTGGAACATTATATTTACTCACAAATTTATCGGCTTTTCACCCATGTAAACTAGGGAGTGACCATAACAGTTTGAGAACATGTTTTTTCTCTTAACTGGGATGTTATGATCCACTATTAATGTACTATTTTTTAAATATATTGTAAAAAGTGATGTCTATTGCTGGTCTATCACCGTAATAAAGATATATTCTATTCTATTCTATTCTATTCTAGGTTTTGCACCTATGGCCTAGCACCAGTGAAAGTTCAAAGTGACCAGGTTTCTGCTGATATAGTGGAATTATTGAGTCTTTCATTTGTACTTCTTTAACTGTTTGGTTTGGCACAGCAACCCAATAGGGCAGGGACAGGTGGCTCCTTTTGCTCTTCACCCAAGTGCCAATCAAAGAAGCCTTGACAGCTATCCAAAACAAATATAACCCCCCCAAACACATCCTTGATCTGACCAACCACTGCCTGTCTAACACATACTTCATTTATAATGGACAAAAATACAAACAGATAGAAGGAGCACCCATGGGATCACCCCTCTCACCTGTCATTGCCAACCTCTACATGGAAAACTTTGAAACCCAAGGTCTAGAAAAGTCTCTAGAAAATAAATAAATAAATAAATAAATAAATAAATAAATAAATAAATAAATAAATA